TAATTCAATATCTCTATATCTTATATTATTATATTATATTATATATTATATTATTCAATATCTCTATATCTTATATTAAGACGGCATTTTCTGTTATTAAACATCGAACACAAACGTCGAACACAACTTGTTGACGGCTTGTTGGCAAACTTGTTACAAGATGTGAGATTTTAAATTTTACGCGTGTAACAAGTCTGCCAACAAGCCGTCAACAAGTTGAGCTCGCCTGCTAGTCCCAAGTTGCCAACAAGTTTGGAACAAGCTGTTAACAACTTGTAACAACCTTGTTGATATTATCAGACTTGTTGCAAGGTTGTTCCACTTGTTGCAAGGTTGTTAGAACAACTTAATTTGCTACAAGTCTGACAATGCCATGCATCAAGCTTGTCACAAATTGTTAACAGCATTGTTACAACTTGTTGACAAGCCTGTTGCGAACACAACTTGTTGACAGCTTGTGAACAGATTTGTGACAACTTGTTTGCAGACCTGGAACTACTTGTGTGTTTTTACGTGTGTATTCGAGGGGATTATATTCGTACCTTGCGGTACTCTACACATGTAAAAATCTCACAACTTGTCAACAAGATATGTTCGCAACAGGCTTGTAGCAAGCTTGTCAACAAGTTGTAACAATGCTGTTATTTTATCAAGTTGCTACAAGGTTGTCACTCACAACTTGTTGACAAATTGTTGAATTGCAGAACGATAACAAGTTGTTGGAACAACTTGTGACAAGTCTGTTGAACTCAACAACTTTGCAACAAGCTGTCAACAAGCCGTTGACAACTTGTCAACAAACTGGGAACAAGCAGTGCGAACGCATTCTGTTGACAAGTTGTTGAAACAGCATTGCTACAAGTCTGCTGTAGCTTTGTTACAACTTGTGCGTTTTTACGTGTGTAAAGTGAAATTGATGGCCAACATCTCTGGGGCCGGTTGTATAAAAACATAGTTAGCGCTAACTGTAGTTAGCGTTAATCACTGCAGTTAAATCCTTAACTGTAATTAGTTAACTACACGGCTTAACTGCGTTGCACAAAACGTAGTTAGTCGGATAGTTAACTAATCACGTGGTTAACTGTGCGTGGGCTTGCGTCGGGCGTTTAAACACAAAATTACTCAAAATTACATAAAGTTAGCAGTGATTAACGACCGCTGACACACATTTTCAACATGATTGTGGACTCGTATTTTGCAAATAGGCGGGAATTTTATTCAAAACACTCAAAACAGTGAAAAAATGCAGAAAAAGAATGCAGTTTTTCCTTGAGATGTCTACGTTAAACCATGGTCTAGCTGTTTGGCAATTATATATCAGTGTTTCTTGGTGTAATGGACTATACTTCGTCTTCGAGAAATCGTCCTGTGCAAAAATATGTAGTTCTGCCCGTAAAAACACCAAAGCGATAGCGTTCGAAGAGTATTATCAGGAAACATTGACAGGGAAAATAGCGATTGAAAATCTCAGGTAAGCGTTGCTTTTCATTGTTGTTTTACTGAAAAATGTTGTTCACTCCTATACAAACGCCATTTTTAACTACGTTTTGGACAGTTGATTATACCCTAAAGCATAGTTAACTTTAACTACTTTTTAACTGCAGTTAAGGCTAACTACACTTTTATACAACCGGCTTAACTACGTGATTAAAGTTAACCACTTTTTAACTACTTTTTAACTGCAGTTAGCGCTAACTACGTTTTTATACAACCGGCCCCTGCCCTCTACACAATTGGAGAGAATCAACTGGAAAAATGGCTGGCTGAAAATGTTACAATGTAACAAACAAACATTCTATTCTAGTATAAAGTACTAATAGTTTCATAACATACAAATGTTTCAAAACGGTGTTCTGCAAAGCTTCTGAAAAGTCGTATGCTTGCCCAAAGCGGACAAAATTACGAACAATGAAATACCAAGTCCATTTTCTCAAATACCAAGTCCATTTTACAAATACCAAGTCCATTTTCTCAAATACCAAGTCCATTTTACAAATATTGGGTCCATTTTCTCAAATACCAAGTCCATTTTACAAATAGCAAGTCCATTTTACAAATACCAAATCCATTTTCTCAAATACCAAGTCCATTTTACAAATATCAAGTCCATTTTAAAAATACCAAGTCCATTGTACAAATACCAAGTCCATTGTACAAATATCAAGTCCACTTCACAAATACCAAGTCCATTTTACAAAATAATATCAAGCCATTTTTATTCACTGCCACAGTGCTACTTTGGAAAATGAAATTTCCCTACTACAAGGAAATTGTCAAAATGGAATTGATATTCGCGTGCGTGCAAAACAATTTGCGAAACACAATACCAATTCGAACATGCTAATTAGGTCATAATGTTTCAATGAATGTATGATTATGTAGTTATTTATTCAACGACTGTATAATTATGCAAAGACAATTTATGCAATTGCACCTTAAAATGGCGGCAAGGTGGTTACCAAATATTGAAGAGTTTTTCGAATCTTTACATAATTATATCCATACATTTTGGCGCCCAACAGTATCTAAACAGCACAGACAGAAATGACAGTGACTACTAGTTGAGAAGGGTTCTAAATTATACATCTGTTGTAAATTCACTCTTTGCAAGAATGTGGACATCAAGCTACAGGCAGGGGCGCACATTAGGGGGGGGGGGTGACACCCCCATGTTTTGTGAAATATATCTAAAAAGCCGGTCGCAAAACCTGAATGGGACGAAAAAGTCGGTACGGCTAAAATCTGAAAGATATTATCATTTTGTGTCGAAAAAAGTAATAGGTGCACGTTCTGGAAATGGAAGTTGCATAAACATGTTAGAAAAATGAATTAGACAAAGAAAAACAATTAAACATACACAAATTAGAGTTCACTGACACAAACCAAGAGAGCAAATAATCAACTTACTGCAACATTTCAGCCAACGTAATGCGATCCGATTACCTCAGGGGGCTCTGCAATGGGCATAAGAACTGCCCTTGTGGAAAGCTAAAATCCTAACCCCAGTAAAAAATGCCTATGGTTGCTTTAAAGAGCACATCTGAACTTGAATTTGCGCTCAAAGCAACACTCATTACCGACTTCTACAAAAACGAAGACATGCTGTTGTATTTGCGTGTACAATACTATGTTTACATAAATATTTTTCGATGACAACATTAGGCAACTTAAAAATGCCTTTTTGTGGTTGTAACTTTTCTTTAAACTTCGTCCTAAAATACTTGAAATATCTTTCAATAAAACTAGAAATTCAAAATTTTCCTCGCGCCTACGGCGCTCGCTTTGGAAATTTATAAAAATTCCCCCCCCCCTCCCTCCTTCCGAAAGTTTAGACCGCTGCAAAAGTTCTGAAAAACTGAACGTTTATTTAAACTTTTGCAATACTATCCCCTATCCCTGTCTTACCGTCTATGCGCTTTATTGAAATAGTTGGCTTTTCTTATCAAACACAAATACTACAAAAGTCGGTCCCAGAACATAGACACCCCCCCCCCCCTATTTTTTCCGAATGTGCGCCCCTGGCTACAGGTTGTATAAAAAAGTAGACAATTTTGAAACAGCTCTAGTCAATTTCACAAATCTGTTCATTTCAGGAAATTTTTGATAAATATAAATTATAATGTAGAATAAACAAGTATTTTGTAAAGATAAATTTTCCAGAGCAGGCGGGATATATTAGCAGCATTAAAAATAGCTTGCGCGCGAAATATAAAAATTAAAAACGTATTTTGAGTTCATGGGCGAGAAATCTGTTATGTGTTTTATCAATACATGGCCCAAATATCAGAAAATTTACTAAATTTTAAGTTCTTTAATTAGCTGCTGAAACTTTCATTTTTTGGCACCAATGCCCATCAGGCATGCTTTATTCATGCATTTACCTAATAATTATTATTGCAAAAGAAGTAAATAGCAATATCAAAATTAGGTAAGAGTTGCTAAAAAAGACACCACCCCTGCTCTGGAAAATTTGTCTTCACGAAAAACGTTTGTTTTGAAGTAGATTGCGCAATGTCAGAAATTCAGTCCACTGGAAACTTTGCCCGGGGTGATGGAATTCAGATAATTTTTGTAAATTTATTTTTGTTTTATTATATATTTTATTAACTTTGTGATTGTGTTGTGTTGTGTTGTGTTGTGAAAACCTGTTTCCAACAATTTATTCTACACTATAAGTTCCCAGACAATCTAAATGTATCAAAAATTTCATGAAATGCGGATTTGTGAAATTGAGAGCTGTTTCAAGATTGTCTACTTTTTTATGCACCCTGCAGCTAGATGCCGGCATTCTTGTAAGAAGTGAATTGACAATAATGCATGGCTATAAAGATTCGAAAAACTCTTCAATATTTGGTAACCACCTTGCCGCCATTTTAAGGTGCAATTGCATAAATTATCTTTGCATAATTATACAGTCGTTGAATAAATAACTACATAATCATACATTCATTGAATACATTATAACCTAATTAGCATGTTCGAATTGGTATTGTGTTTTGTACATTGTTTTGCACGCACGCGAATATCAATTCCATTTTGACAATTTCTTTGTAGGGAAAATGGACTTGATATTATTTTATAAAATGGACTTGGTATTTGTGAAATAGACTTGATATTTGTACAATGGACTTGGTATTTGTAAAATGGACTTGGTATTTGTACAATGGACTTGGTATTTGTACAATCGACTTGGTATTTGTAAAATGGACTTAGTATTTGAGAAAATGGACTTGGTATTTATAAAATGGACTTGGTATTTGAGAAAATGGACTTGGTATTTATAAAATGGACTTGGTATTTGGGAAAATGGACTTGCTATTTCATTGTTCGTAATTTTGTCCGCTTTGGGCAAGCATAAAGTCGCTTGAATGTAGAAAAACAATTCTCTGGCAAGTCTGGCAAAATAAATTCGACATACATTTGTGTGTCGGTTTTACCATTTGATATAGGCACAGCAAATTATCTTATCAACAATTACAATTTTAGATTCTAAACAATACTTAATGTTCCATTACAAACAGTTTTAAAAGATAAAAAGTTTGTCGTTTATATTTGATGGTTAAATTCCATGGAGGTTGAGTTCTCTTGCCATTTGACACATTGCACAGATCCCACAGCATGACAGTGCTTCGGAGTCCCCCACAATACTTCCCTGTCGAAATAAACAATGCAATAATTAACTAACTATATTTATATTGGATCTAAACCGTTCTCCCTAGAGCACCAGTACGGCCCATCTTTCTTACTGGTTTAAATGTTACCATGCAGACTACAGGTGGAAACCTAAACTAAACTAGTTTTATTTACTATTCAAAAAAGTTTGTCCTTTGCAAACCTTAAACTCTAAACCCTAAACTTTAAACTCTAAGCTTGCCAAGCATGAGGGGGCCCATGCATTTGTTCACAAATAGCTGCAATATTCAACTACTATAAGATTGAAACTTGTGCTCCCATTAAGCTTTGTACGCTTGGAGTTTAAGATTTAGAGTTTAAGGGTTGAATTGGCTGCATACTACATAGCTCTGTCAGTTCTAAACTGCTCTGCCTAAAGGACCCAGTCTCATATACCCAGGCGCTTTGGCATGCTACGCCATTAGAAGACGAGAAAGAGCCACACTTACTGCAATGTTATGTCTTGTCCTTATCTTGGTTCTCAAGGCAATTGGACACATGAATCCCACACAACAACACTCACCAGCTTTGTTACTGACCATGCATTGAAGAATGCACGGGCACAACCAGCCAAGAAGACCTGAAAGCAAAATCAAATTCATAGAAACTAGTACATCATTATGTACAACATTGAGGTTGTTGGTGTAGCATGCGCAAGTTTCACTTAGCACTAGCTTCATACGGGTATAGTCAACTTGCAGTAATCAGAATATATCTAGAAGTCTTACATTAAGGTAGAATTCAGATAATTTTTTTTGCCCCCAGTGTCAATGGTTCTGAAGCTCTTTCCTTGACAGAGGTTTCTGTGCATTACTGCATGCATTTAAAATTTTCCACCTGTGTCGTGTGATTAACCCACTGAGACGCATTACGCCCCAGTCAATGCGCTCTACTTTATAATTTTACTGTCTAATGCCAGGTTATTTTACTCTGTCTAACAGCAGACAATTTTACTCTGTCTAATATTAAATCACCTCAGCACTGGAAGAGAAGACGTAATGGGGGAATGGTTGCAAGATGGGCCGGGGGAATTTTCACTGGGGGATGGAAGAACTATGTTGTAATTTTGTTTGGTCCTTTGATAGTTCATAGTTCGTGGACATTTCTCCCTTTGACCCATCCCTGCCCCCCCCTGACTTACAAACTCCACAGTCATCAAAACAATCATAAATTCCAGTGCTCCAGTCTCGTTGTTGCTGGACAATCACCGCTGCAGGTTGTTGTTGTATTACAACTGTTGTATTCGTGTTGTGCACGGCGCTTAATGTTGGTTGTTGCTGCACGGGAAATGAGGGGCAGGCACCTGGAAGTAGGTAGAAGCCACCCTCACTTGGCTGTTGTTGGTGTGCGGGGTATCCAGGTAGGGTTGTTGGAGCAATTTCAGAGCTCATGTCAATCTTCTCTTGGTGGTTCTATAGTGGAAGTTTGGGAATTTGTTATACACATGCAAAAATCTCACATCTTGCAGCAACTCTGTCAACAAGTTGTGCTCGCACTGCTTGTCCCAAGTTGTCAACAAATATTGAACAACTTTTCAACAGTTGTGACAACCTTGACCTTGTTGATATCATCAGACTTGTTGCAAGGTTGTTCCAACAAGTCCGAGCATTCCTAAACAGCGAGACATTGGAAGACACGTTGAAAGATGTAGAAAAGTACGACACCCCTATTAGTACATACAACACCACACCAAACGTTTTGTCACCAAGAATCATCTGTCGTCTCTTCATACTCGGTATAAATACGGCGTCAATTTTACAGCGTCAATGATAATTGTATTTAAATTGACAATATTTAACTATTATTTTGTGTGATCTCAACCGCCAGATACATTTAAGAGGGTATAGCTAACTGTATAAACTACAAAATAAAGCTAAAACAAAGTAATTTTGATAGGAACGCCAAAAAGATTTTTAATAGGTTTTGAACACTTTTGTCGCAAATACGCGACATTGTCATTGAAAAACATCACCTCTACTCTAGGTTAGTTAAAAACATATATTTCTATACTATACAATATTCTAAATTGTAAATTGTAAACCTACAGTACCAGTCATTTGGCATTTTACAGGTTTATAATTATAGTTTTGTTTGCTATAGAAAGCTGCAGATTTATATAGGGATACAAGTATACTACTAGATAGATAGATAGATCGATCGATAGATAGATCGATCGATAGATAGATAGATGGTTTATTTCATATAAACATTGCAGCCAATAGGAAACAGACTAAAAGGATATAAGAATGTTCTAATAATTTTATGATGAATAATTTAATGCATTATGTATAATAAAACTATTTTTAAAACGGTTAGTTTCAAATGCAACGTTAAGATCGAGTCATATTAACAGTTTCATTACGTGGTGGAAGAAGATTATAAAGCTTATGGCTATCATCAGTCACTATTTCTTCAAATAGTTTGTCTGAAAGACCGTCTCTTTGTAAAGCGTCTTCATATGAGACCCAAGGTAAAATAATTCGCAATGCTCTCTTTTGGATCCGCTCCAAATCCTGACTGAGGTAATTTGTCAAACCATCCTAGAATACGCAAGTCCTGTATTCCATAATTGGTCTTATGCACGTTGTAAAGAATAGGACAAGTTCTTTCTTGCCAACTCTCGCTCTCTTAAGTTGGGAGAGAAAATAGAGACGCTTTCGCGCCTTCGATATAATTTGATCAATGTGATTGTTCCATTTCAAGTTGAGTTAGAAACGCTCAGACCAAGGATTTTAGCACTGTCGACCACTTCCGAGAGTTCTATATAGTACCCCTTATCTCTTCTGTGATAGTACTATATATAGTATATTATATCACACTTGCGTCGGTTTTCTTTGTTCGTCCGAGGTTTATAACTAGCTTATATACCTTGAAAAAATGATTAGATTAAACTTGTAGACAAAACGCGAGAATTTTTCATAACTAAAAATTTTTGAAAATGACAAAATATGTTGGAAAACCTCCGCAAGTGTGATATAAGTTAGTTATAAACCTCGAAAGTCGGTTTATAACTGATATATTGCCCCTCGGACGCTACGCGTCCTCGGGTCAATATATCAGTTATAAACCTCCTACTCGGTTTATAACTCTTACTTATAATTATAATATATGAAAATACAATGACGTACACATTGGAATCTGCATGTATAATGAGCTACACAAATATATCACTTGATAGCAAATTGAGACGAACTTTATACGTATTTTTAAATTAAGCGTTTAATGTATTTTTAAGTCAATACACATTTCGCTGGCTGCTTGTGGTCGTCTTGGACGATTTCACGACGCGAAAATACAATTTTCACGTCCTCTCTAGAACGTCACAGATTTATGCTTCTTTTGAAAAAAAATATGAGAGTATGCATAATAAAAATCATCCTATTTTGTTCCCCATGTATTGTTTAATGATTGTAGTTAAAGTTTTTTCATTGACAAGGTTGTTTTTCTTGTATTTTGCTAAATATACTTTGATTTGTTACAAATACTTTCGGTCGCCATAACAAATCAACAAAATTGCAAACATTGTTAACCACTTCAATACCGCTAGTATTCTTCACCAAAACAAACATTTTAGAACAAACTAAACTGAAGTTAATAACAACTGTTTAAAATCAGGAAAACTTGGGTAGATACTGAACTCTGAAGAATAAAAACACTTAAAAGCAGTAACAACTCAATCAATTTTAGTTGCTCTGTCACAACAGTGCAAAAATGTAGGACAAGTAAAAAACGCTTTCCAGCGTGAAAAACTATCGTAAACAGTATTAAATTTTACCAATATAAGCACTGATGCCATATCTAATATACTGAACAGTTGACAAACTTGATTGAATACGCTACAAACTAAAGCATTTAGCTCGTAAACAATACCTGCAGCTATTGTATTTATTCCAAATCAGCAAATGATGCTACAAAGTCCACTTTTCAAAATACCGAAATATACGTCTTTTTCTAAAAAAAACTTATTGAATGTTCATAAAATTCATCAGGAAACAATTGGTCAGTATTATATAGCCTTTTCTTGCACATGCATATCTTGACAACTGATTGAAAATAATACAGGAATGAGCAGGTATATTACAAGAAAACGAAAGTTGCTCCGAAAAAGACAAACAAGCCGACCCAGATTAAAACCCGGAAGTGAACGCGAGGTGCATACGTCATTTTCACGCGATTCGACAATGCGACGCGATTTTTCGATTTTCACTGACCGATAACTTTGATCCTAGTTTACTGTCGTTCCAATTGAAGTGTTGCTCAAATATTGATTCAATACATTACCTCGGGCTGACCAATTCATTTCATCAAGTTCCTCGAGATATTCATACACTTCCTAGTATAATTGTAAACTTCCTGTTGAATAGTTTGAATGCACCAATCACCTTTGTTGTTTGTGCAACTAACCAATCATAAATAGGAAGGAAGTGACCAGAAATAATCAAATACTTGGAATTGGCTCTTTCACAGGAAGTGTATGAATATCTCGAGGAACCGACCCCCGGTACCTTTGTGCCGGTACGGTAGAAAATATTTGCCTTACAATGCAGCACGTTGAGTCCCGGCCCAATCCCACTCTTGGCAAATTATTATTTTGTGGCTCTTAAAGGAGCCGTTTAGAGTAATAAATTTCCAAGCAGAAGTAAAACTCGCGACATATTTTAAACACAACTTATTACTTGCTAAGCCCAAGTTAACATGGTTGCCAACGACGTTGTTATGGTGGATATTTGCATATTAACCCGCCACCCCCTGTGGATACACCAAGCGAAATACAAGGGAACATATGGCGAGATATACGAAATTTTGACTTGTTGCTATCGAAAACGTATACCGCCAAAGTCAGTAATAGTCGTTAAAGGATTACAAACTAAAATTTCATTTCTTAAGTGTTTAATTTATTATGGATAGATCATAGGCAGCCCACTAATTTAAATTAAAACTGCAGTCGGCGAACTGACGTATAGTTGCATATAAAGTACAGTGCTGTTACAGTTTATTTGTAATATTATACCTCACTGGCTAGTGGCTTCTGACTTCGCAATGAAAAATCAGAAACGTGAATACGTGATCATGACTGGGCCAAGGCCAAGTGAAATGAGGCCAAAGACCAATTATGACGAGGCCAAGGCCCAAGTGAAGGCGAGCGACGGCATTCCGATCAGTTCCAACTGTACGTAAATTTGACGTCAATCTTAATCCTGTGCAGATGATTAAGAGCTTGCCTGACTGTGTATTGATTTATTTCATTTTAAAAACGTACACAAATAGCAATGAACAAAATGTAACTTGTAACTTTGGCAAAATAACTTGTAATCGTTTCAATTTTATGGCATTTTTTGTAACTAGTTACCGTTACAGTTACATGTTCTCAATTTGTAACACGTTACCGTTACCGTTACTGAAAAATGTAACGATTACTTGTAACTAGTTACTTTAAGGAAGTTACTTACAGCACTGATAAAGTATACCTAAAGTTGGCAAGGTGTTTGAACTATTTGAACTACACACAAGAAATATATCCGTAGTATTCTAAAAAGTGGAAAGAAACTAGCCCTAGAAACAACATCAACATAAACAAGGATAATTTTACTAACCTGTCTGTAACTGAAAGTACAGCTTTAAATGTTGATAAATTTACGAAAGTTTACTGTGTTTTGTCAATTTTTTTCGTCGTCAACGACGAAACTTGCTACAGCCAATAAACAGCTGAGTTTTATTTTGAAAAATGTGTCCATCCCGCATAGTCACAGAGAAAAAATCGACAAAACACCGTAAACTTTCGTAAATTTATCAACATTTAAAGCTGTACTTTGACAAAAAAAACTGACCCAAATTTAGGTATCCCGCCTATTCGCGGGCGAGATGATTGACAGTACCGGGGGGAGGGGAAAAAGGACACGAAAACATATGAGCGAATACGAACAACAAACGTTTGAGACGAGAGAGTTTAGTCGAAATTTTGTATTTTATTTTACTTTGTTCTTATTTATTATATCATTTTTTACTTGTGTGTGAGTGTGAGTGTGTGCCGAGTTACGGGTCGGTACATTTGGTGCCGTGACCAGGATTTTTACGAAGAAAAACGAGCGAAATCAACAACGAAGTACGTATATATTTTGTGATATTTTGGCGCCAATATTTGTTTATCGTATTAAATCTCGAATTCATTAATACTATTGTGAAGAAATATAACGAACATGATGGGAGACGAAAGCAACGAACAAGTAGAGGGTTTAGAAGACACCGAGCGTACGGAAACTTCGATAGAATAGAAAATAATTTGGAAGGGACAGACGAATTGATTCGAACGAATGACGTCGAGGAAATAAAAACAACGGTTAAACAAACATCCAAGATTATGAGCAAACTTTCGGAGCTTATTTCACAGCTAGAAGAGTTTAAAATCGACAGTGGTATTTCACCTAGAACTGTTCGTCAGTGGAAAAAGGATATCAAGGCGAAATATGCAGAATTATTGCTGGACAAGGAGAAACTTTCTGACTTTTTAGAGTCAAGGGAGCGACGAACCCAAGAAGAATCTGAACGGCGAAAGTGGGAAGCTAAACAACAACTAGAGGAGGCAGCAATCGTTGAGAGACACGAACGTGAACGAAAATTATGGGAACAAAAACTGCAAGCCGAGTTGGAAATTACTGAGAAACGTATGGAGCTAGAAAGGGAAGCAAAGTCTACTAGTGCCAAATTGCCAAAATTGAAGATAACCCCTTTCAAGGGAACTGTTGTAGATTGGATTCGTTTCGAGAATATTTTCTTGACCCAAATTGACAAGAAACCTATCTCGAACGAAGAGAAATTCGGCTATTTGCTCGAACTGGTGAACCCCAAGGTCAGAGACCGGTTGGCAAATCTTAAACCAAGTACCGAGGGATATGAAACAGCGTGGAAAAGGCTCAAAGCAGAATACGGATAGACCAAACAAGTTGTAAATGCACATATGGAGGAAATTATTGGGTTACCTGTAGTCAAAGGTTCTAACTATACGAAAATCCAAGAATTTTACGAAAGGTTGAGTAAGAGTTTCGACGCTCTGCATACCTTGGGAGAGGATGGGCCTCTCAAAGTTTTTGTGATGACGACATTGAACAAACTTCCACATATTAAACCAGACCTGGTACGAACTGACGAAAAATGGGAGGACTGGAGCTTGAAGGATTTACTGGATAACCTGCAGAAGTGGTTACTTAGAAATAAAACGACGAACGATTCGAAGCATAGCGAAGAGTCATCGAGAAGAGAACGGAACTGGTTTGCTGGAAAGGCTAGTGGAGGAAAACCGAAGAGCCCCAAATGTGTCTTTTGCAGAGGTGAGCATTACTCGGACAGTTGTGAAGATATTAAGGATTTAGATAGTCGCCGGAAGTTCTTTACGAACAATAAACTGTGCTATAATTGTGGTCAATCTGGCCATCGAGCGAATAATTGCCATGGGGGGAGTTGTTTCAAATGCAAAGGGAGACACCATACAAGTCTGTGTGACGGGAAGAAAGGTCCCATCCTAACTGGGTATACCCCCTCAGATACCACATTACCACCCATAATTCCTGTGAACATACAAGGCGTGACATTGTGGGCATATCTAGACACAGGGTCAGGGAGAAACTTTATCTCCCAAGATGCCATAGCAAAACTGAAATTATCTCCTGTACACCACGAAACTCGTCATATTGTCACTGTGAGTGGGTCGAAACGACAGTCCATGCCCATTTT